CGCATTTCAAGTCACGAAATGACTTCTTTAGGATTTGAACCACAACTACTACAACACAAGGCTGTTGTCTTTACCACTACACCACATGCTCGTTGTTGGAAGCCTCGTGCAACTTATTCACCTTAACCTTTCTTCTCTAGCTTGTGTAATATACGTCAAATTCCAACACACAAAATGTCTTCTGTAGGACTTGAACCACAGCTGGTATGTGACACAAGCCTGTTGTCTTTACCACTAGACCACTTGCTCGTTGTTGGAAGACTACCGCAACTTATTCACCTTATTTTTTTCTCTAGCTTGTATAATTAACATAGGACACATTTCAAGTCACAAAATGGCTTCTGTAGGATCAAAGATCCCCACCTGGTAAATGGCACAAGCCTGTTGTCTTTACCACTAGACCACTTGCTAGTTGTTGGAAGTCTAGCGCAACTTATGTTCACTTTATTTTTTTCTCTAGCTTGTACAATTAACATACGACGCATTTCAAATCACAAAACGGCTTCAGTAGGACTTGAACCACAGCTGGTATGTGACAAAGCCTGTTGTCTTTACCACGAGACCACTTGCTCGTTGTTGGAAGGATAGCGAAACTTATTCACCTTAGTTTTTTCTCTAGCTTATATAATCAATATACGACGCATTTCAAGTCACAAAACGGCTTCTGTAGGACTTGAACCACAGCTGGTACATGACACAAGCCTGTTGTCTCTACCACTAGACCACTTGCTCGTTGTTGGAAGATTAGTGCAACTTATTCACCTTATCTTTTTCTCTAGCTTGTATAATCAAGATACGACGCATTTCAAGTCACAAAACGGCTTCAGCAGGACTTGAACCACAGCTGGTAAAAGGCACAACCCTGTTGCCTTTACCACTAGACCACTTGCTCGTTGTTGGAAGCGTAACGCAATCTATTCGCCTTAACCTTTTGCTCTATATTGTGTAATTAAAATTCAACCCTCTTCAAGTCACAAACACCGGAGTTTATATATATAATCCCGGAGACTATACTAAATTTATAATTGCCTGAAGAAGCAACTACAATATCCTTCTCGTCTAGACAAACGCTATACCGTCTCCAGGTTGAGAAAGAAACAACCAGTCAATACCTCAGGCCCGTCAAAAATATATCATCCGACGCCTAAGAATTAGCTGGATGAACAGCCAAAGTTCTCGTGCACTCAGAGAATTTATACAAAAACATTTTCTGTTTCACTTGTGGGACGTTGAATGATAAAATGCGCATGCTTGTTTGCACTATGGCATTTGAAGTGCGCATGTCCAACCAGGTCCTACGTTGTAGAAGTGCTGTTTGGGGGAGCAACACCTCGCCAATCGTGCTATAAGTCGGTGAAACACCGCGAACGTCGGCTTTAAGCCAAATAAATCCCTCGGGGCCTTAGGCTCTCGGGATTTTTCTGCTTAATGCCTCGGTCCTCGTTCTTATTTTTTCCAATCGAAATTCAAGCATTTCCAAATTACAGAATGACTTCTATAGGACTTGAACCACAGCTCTTAATATTAAGTCTCCAATTCTTGTCGATACCACACTCGGAAATACCTGCGATTTTCATGCATGGCGTGAAACGGGCTGTTTATACTTGAATAAACCATCACAAGAAAGCCTATGGATCATAGATTTTGAGTATGAATTTTGTAGAGGGTGGTAAATTCACGGTTGTGTTTTACAGGGCTTCAAACGCAATAGAATACGCGTCTAGCCCAGGCTCAAATCTGCATCTTTTATATAAGTCTCAAATTGTTTTCGAAAACTCACTTGGAAAGACCTGCGATAATCATGTCCTGAAACGGCCAGTTTATACTTGAGGAAGGCAGCGAAAGAAAGCCAATAGACCATAGATTTCAAATATGAAATTTGTAGAGAAGCCCAAATTCGTGGTTTTGCTCTACAGGACTTGAAACGCAATAGATCGGGCGCCTATAACTCGAACCTGCACCTTATTAATTAATGTTAAATCTCAAATTCTTTTCGAAACTCCCTTGGAAAGACCTGCGATTATCATGTCCAGAAACGGGAGTTTATACTTGAGTAAGGCACCGAAAGAAAGCCTTTAGACCATAGATTTCAAATATGGAATTTGTAGAGTGGCGCAGGTTATCGATTTTGCTCTACAAGACTTGAAACGCAATAGAATACGCGTCTAGCCCAGGCTCAAATCTGCATCTTGTTTATAAGTCTCAAATTGTTTTCGATAACTCGCTTGGAAAGACCTGCGATTTTCATGTCCGGAAACGGGAGTTTCTACTTGAGTAAGGCACCGAAAGGAAGCCTATAGATCATAGATTTTGAGTATGAACTTTTTAGAGCGTGACAAATTCTTTATTTTGCTCTACAGGACTTGAAACGCTTATCGGGCGCCTATAACTCGAACCTGCACCTTATTAATTAATGTTAAATCTCAAATTCTTTTTGAAACTCCCTTGGAAAGACCTGTAATTATCATGTCCAGAAACGGGAGTTTATACTTGAGTAAGGGACCGAAAGAAAGCCTATAGACTTCAAATATGAAATTTGTACAGTGGCGTATATTCTTGATTTTGCTCTACAGGACTTGAAACGAATGTTGACCTTTTGAAACACAAAACGGCTTCTGTTAGACTTGAACCACACCTGGTACATGACACAAGCCTGTTAATTGTCTTTACCACTAGACCACCTGTTCCTTATTGGAAGCCTACGGCAACTTATTTACCTTCACCTTTTTTCTCTAGTTTGTGTAATTAATATACGACACAAGTCACAAAATGACACATGTAGGATTTCAACCACACCTGTTACATGACACAAGCCTGTTGTCTTCACCACTAGACCACTTACTCGTTGTTGGAAGCCTAGCGCATCTTATTCACCTTATTTTTTTCTCTAGTATGTATTATTAAAACTGAACCATTTTTGAATCACAAAACGGCTTCTGTTAGACTTGAACCATTACTGGTACATAACACAAGCCGGTTGTCTATACCACTAGACCACTTGCTCGTTGTTGTAAGTCTAGCCCAGCTTATTCATCATATTTTTTTCTCTAGCTTGTATAATTAAAACTCAATAACTTTTGAACTTGAACCACAGCTGGTAGATGACACAGCCCGTTGTCTATACCACTAGACCACTTGCTCGTTGTTGGAGTCTAGCGAAACTTATTCGCCTTAACCTTTTTTCTCTAGCTTGTATAATTAAAACTTTACAACTTTAATTTGAATCCCAAAAGGGCGACAGTTGGACTTGAACCACAGCTGGTAGATGACACAAGCCTGTCGTCTTTACCACTAGACCACTTACTAGTTGCTGGAAGCGTAACGCAACTTATTCACCTTAACCTTTTTTATCTAGCTTGTGTAATTAATATACGACACATTTCAAGTCACAAAATGACTTAGGTAGGATTTGAACCACACCTGGTATATGACACAAGCCTGTTGTCTTTACCACTAGACCACTTGCTCGTTGTTGGAAAACTAGCGCAACTTATTCTCCTTATTTTTTCTCTAGCTTGTATAGTTAAAACTCAACAACTTTTGAATCCCAAAAGGGCGACTGTTGGACTTGAACCACAGCTGGTAGATGACACAGCCTGTTGTCTTTACCACTTGACCGCTTGCTCGTTGTTGGGAACCTACCGTAACTTATTCACCTTATTTTTTGCAGGCTTGTATAATTAAAACTCAACAACTTTTGAATCACATAACGGCTTTAGTATGACTTGAACCGCAGCTGGTACATGACAGAAGCCTGTTGTCTTTACCACTAGACCACTTGCTCGTTGTTGTTAGACTAGTGCAACTTTTATTCACCTTATTTTTTTCTCTAGCTTGTATAATCAAGATACGACGCATTTCAAGTCACAAACGGGAATTCAACCACACCTGGTACACTACACAATCCTGTCGTTTTTACCACTAGACCACTTGCTCGTTGTTGGAAGACTGGCGTAACTTATTCACCTTATTTTTTTCTCGAGCTTGTATAGTCAATATACGACGCATTTCAAGTCACAAAATGGCTTCTGTAGGACTTGAACCGCAGCTGGTACATGACAGAGGCTGTCATGTCTTTACCACTAGACCACTTGCTCGTTGTTGGAAGCATAACGCAACTTATTCACCTGCTTTTTTTCTCTAGCTGTAGGACTTGAACCACACCTGGTAAATGACACAAGCCTGTTGTCTTTACCACTAGATGACCACTTGCTCGTTGTTGGAAGCCTACCGCAACTTATTCTCCTTAACTTTTTTTCTCTAGCTTGTGTAATTAATATACGACACATTTGAAGTCACAAAATGGCTTGTGTAGGAGTTGAACCACAATGGTACATTATAAAAGCCCGTTGTCGTTACCACTAGACCACTTGCTCGTTGTTGGAAGCCGAGCGGAACTTATTCACCTTATTTTTTATCTAGCTAGTTAGGATAATTAAAATACAACCATTTTCAAATCACAAAAGGGCCTCTATTAAACTTGAACCACAACTGGTACATGATACAGGTTTTAGTGTTCTAGTCTTGACCTCTAGATCATTTGCTCCTGGTTGAAAACCGATCGGAACTTATTCACCTTAACCTTTTGCTATATATTGTATAATTAAAATTCAACCCTCTTCAAGTCACAAACTCCGGGATTATATATATAATCCCGAGGACTATTTTTATGTCCAGAAACGGGAGTTTATACTTCAGTAAGGTAGCGGCAGAAAGCCTATAGACCATAGATTTCAAATATGAAATTTGTAGAGTGGCGCAAATTCTTAATTTTGCTCTACAGGACTTGAAACGCAATAGAACGGGCGCCTATAACTCGAACCTGCATCTTAATTGATGTTAAGTCTCAAATTCCTTCCAATAACTCGCTTGGGAAAAGCTGCTATTACACAGCCTAGACCACTTGGTCGTTGTTACATACTATTCCCATAGTGTAGGATTTGGAAAACAATTTCCAGTGACGGCGCGTGCGAGTTATCTAAAATCGTGAATTGAGTGCAATCCCGTTCCCAGAATATGCCTGTTCGCGGGTTAGGTAGTGGCATGGCACTACCTAACCCGCAAACAGGCATACTCTGGGAACGAGCTTGAATTGAGTCACAGCAACCATATGACAGCAACGATGTAAATTGTAAACAATATACACTTAATGTCTGCTCCCGAGGGAAATAGTTTGTTTTGTTTTCCCGAGAGTCTCAATGTCAATGAGAGTCCCATTGAGATTCGAGGGAAAACAAACTAACTATTTCCCGAAGGAACGGGAATTAAGCGTTTTGTTTATATATAATGACAAACAAAAATTAACATTCAACAACATTCATACAACAATTGTATTTCGTGACATAAACTCTATAAAGACTATAGTGTAAACGAGTTTAAAATTAAAAGAAACTACTATAAACGGTTTCAGCGGCATATCCCGTTGCCTGTTGTGTATTTTTCTACTGTTTTACACATTCTTTATTGAACACAAACTTGGTGAAAATCGTAGTGCCTAGTTCATTCTCGTACCCAGAGCCCTTCTTACGCGCGGTGCGACGAGGGGCTCTGGCCAAATCCATAACCGGATAGGCGGATACCATAAAAAACATGGCAAGAAAACAATATCCGGTGTTAGAACTAGCCAATCAGATGTCAGTTCTGATATGGATTTGGCCAGAGCCCCTCGTCGCACCGCGCGTAAGAAGGGCTCTGGGTACGAGAATGTTTCTAATTCATGATGCTAGATGTGGCTCCATTAAGCCATTTTATCTGAGGTCACGTGACTCCAAATCAGCCAATCATGTTTGGTATTCACGCTACCTATATAACAACACAAAATAATAGTTAAATATTAATTGTCAATTAAAATACGATTGTCATGGATGCTGTAAAATTGACGCCATATTTACACATGCAGCTTTATATATAAGCAAAACTTAAGCCGGTTTTCCACTAGCGAATTTCTTCGCGCGAAGCGTCCTTTTTTCCTTTGTCGTTATCACTTATTACGTCGGCACGACGTGGCAAAATGGATGCCGGCAAAGAAAAAAGGTCGCTTCTTCGCGCGAAAAAATTCGCTAGTGGAAAACCGGCTTTAAGGCGGTTTTCCACTTGGCGAAATTTTTCGATCGAACCGAAATTTCTATTGTTCAAATTCAAAAGATTTCTGTTTAGTTCCAACTGAGTGCTTGTAAAGGCGGTTTTCCTCTAGGCGAAATTTTTCGACCGAATCGAAATTTTCTTTTGTCCTACAAGCACTCAGATGGAACTAAACAGAAATCTTTTGAATTTGAACAATAGAAATTTCGGTTCGATCGAAAAATTTCGCTTAGTGGAAAATCGTCTTTAGTTAGGGGCCGATTACATGGGTGAGTTGTCCCTGCTTGTGAAATTTTCTGCCGTCTAAAGTTTCATGTTGTCTGTACACTGTACTTTCTTTGGAGACAGTACCATTTGTCTCCCAACAAATCGGAAAATGATCAAGACAGTAGTAACTCGGATTGATTCACATATTGTATAATATATGACTGTTCACACTGCTTTTTAGTCTCCAATATTTCAGTGAGTCGTGCTTTGGAAATGACAATAAATTTTTATTACCCAACTCTTGAGTTGTTTTGTTTTTCATTTACCCAACCTTTTACTTACTCAAAATTTCGTTTACCCAACCCTTTTCTCTTCGGTGCCACCCCCCGCCATAAATAATGACCAGTCCCTTACGCAATAAAAAACAAAACAAAAGATTTTCCTCTTAAAAATGATGTGCACTCCTATGCGCATGCGCGAACTTTGTTTACTTTTGAACTGCTATATTTGTAAAATATGATATACTAACTGAATATCTAACACTTTTCTGGTTCGCTATGCTTGTAAATGAATATAAACTCTACGTTTCAATTCAAAAAAGTTCGAAAGATGCAAAATTTGGGCAATGTTTATATCTGGGGTCGCCCTTTCACTTTGTTATGAGCAGAACTCATGCGCAGAACGTAGTGGAAATCATCTCTAAAATTACTCAAATTTATGAACGTCTGGGAAAAGTCGTCAAATATAGTTTCAAATGGACACAAGAATGTTGTGTTTTGCTATCAAGAGATAAGGAGCTTTATATAAATCCAAAAGCGCTTTATAAGAGAAAACAAAAAAACAATCACGAAATTCCAAACAACATATTTGGTTTAAGAGCATCAAAAAGTACTTAGTGCGTCTAATCTACCGGCTGAGAGGATAAAGCCAGCCATAACTGAAAGGATTTTTTTTATACAATAGCAAGAACAATTTTACGGATTATTTATCACGCCCCAACTGAGGCCTTATAAAAACTCACATCTGAGCGAAGAAATTTAAAATTCGGCAGAAATTCGGCGACTCGCGTTGTATGCTAATTAATTCTTTGAAGATACAAATTCATCGTGGTGCAGTTTGCCACGAAGTGGTCATAAAATAATTCCGTAAGTATATCTCGTTAATTATTCATGAAGTATATTCAAAAGGATGAATGTTTAATTAATATCTGCAAAACGGCTACAGTTTATTTTGTCTGGAGTTTGCCTAAATTTTAGCTTCGATTTTCTCGGCAAAAAAGTTCGTACAAGTGTAGTAGTAATGTATTATTATTTAAACATATTCAGATACGCGGGCATATAGTGGCCTTTTAGCTAGTCGCCTGGTTTTCAAAGGGCTGTACGGTTTACAAAAGTAGAATTTGTTTATCTATTTACAGCAATTGTTTAAAAATATACACTTTGTTATACACATTATATAACAGTATACTGTGTATAAAATCGATACAATTATAGTAATAATTGTGTAAGTATATATGGGCTTGACCCATGAGGGCGTTTCTCTCTTGGTTTAATATTATACGGTGTTTATCCAACCTTTAAGCGATTCTATGTGGAGAGGCTCTCGTATTTGCTAATTAAGTTATGTGGTAGCTTTCCAGGATACAGCTACTTTATTTGAAAACTGCGTTTTAAAAAGTAGTCGATGGCTTATTTGAAGCATCTTATCATTATTGTAAATGTAAACGAAAAATTAATTATATACAGTCAATCATTATAAGACTATAAGTAACGGTAATAGATTGGTCAGTTCGGTGTGACCCATGATTTTCAAAATATGACCGTGGAATTGCCTGTTTTTTTAAAGAATAAATTGATTTTAAAAGTACCTGATTTTCGCCCATCTTTACTGGGCAAGGGCTTTATTACAGTTCAGTTAGTAAAACATCTCGTAGTATTAGTTGATTCAACCTTTTCCCCTATCTGATCGGACAAACACATGTTAAGACTGTCTCACCGGCTTATACGCTTTTTGCCCTCATTGAAATGCAGAACGCGTACAAAATTCTTTATTACGAGAACTTGCCAAAGTTGAAACAGTTTACCTTACAAAAAATCGAATTGAGAAGTGAAGAAATATCTCTGACCAAATTTAAGAGTATCCTATACTGTCTTATATTTACTACCACTCCAATTAAATTACAAATAAAATTGCATTACAATTAAACTACAACATAAAAGACTCCCTGACATGGAAACGAAATCCATTTGTTGCAAATGCAATGTGGCACGTCCTCTATAGTTAATGAGGTCCGCTATTGTAACTAATTCTAACTAATAACCACTAATACTAACAAATAATACTATCGATAATTCCAAACGTATAATTTAGATTGTGGAAATCATTAACAATTCATGAAGAATGACTATGTTATTCTCATTTCCAATACTATTTTGCATTACTATTTGGGGCCGCTGTAATTGGCGATAGATGTTGTGGTTTATACACAAGCACGTGACTCTTGTGTATAATTTTAGTCTTTGAGATATGCCATATGTTATATTATGTATATTATTAAAAATTATGGCGAAACTTGTAGCAAGTTAACTATTCTTCATCACAACGGGCTAACACCACTGCAAATAACATTCACAGACTTCAAACAGTGCAGAATTTTGCTATTCGAATAATCACTAATTCAGAAAAATTCGACCATATGGCACATTACTCCTTTGATGAATACTAATATTGCACTGGATTCCTGTTAAATCTCGCTTGTTTTATCGTGATGATATTTTGGCATTCAAATGCCTAAATGGAACAGCACCCGAATATTTATCCAAGAGATTTATGCAGAGAGAGGACATGATAGTGGACGATGCACCAGAAACTCTCGATCCTTAAATATGTATCCCCCTTTTCAAAAGTGCAACATAAAATTAAAATCTTGTTCATCAACCCATACATTCAAACATAAATTGCGAAATTATTATTTAGAAAACATTTATAACAGTTAGTCGTTATTAATATTATAGTTAACTTCTTAATCCAATATATATGGTCTAGAATACTTTTTCATGTAATATATAGGCTCTGAACAGTCTCCTTTGGAAGAGTTCAAAAATATTGTATTGTATTGTATTGCATTGCGCTCATGTACGACTATACAAACTAGGGTGTATCAAAAAAATGTACATCTTTCAAATTCAAATTAGCCATAACCTTTTGAATATTCGTTGCACTGCAGTAAGCTGGCACATTTTATATCTTATGCAGACTTGAATAATGCTTAATTTAAACATTTTTCTTTGACTTGTGTATTTGTTCATACAAATAGAAGTTATCCTAAATTTCCATGTGCAGAATACCTTGTGTTTTCACGCATTCATTAATTCGAGAAATTATACGGCTGTCAAATTACTATAGCCTACAGTACATTAAAATACTCATAAATAATTCATAAACCTTGTGGCAAATCATGTCAGCCATAATATGTCACGTGGAGTGACTTTATATCTGATAAAACACATGTGGCATTATATAATTGTTCATCCTAATTAGCATGATTATATAATGGTTCGTCCTAATTAGTATTCTTTTGTAGTCGTATTTTAAGCTATTCAAAACACTCGTTGTCGTGTTTTATCAGATATAAAACGCTCGGCTGCGCCTCGCGTTTTATATCTGATAAAACACTCCTACTCGTGTTTTAAATAGTACATAGATTACGGTTAATTTGAATTTGAAAGGGTGTATATTTTTTTGATACACCCTGTATATATACTTGATTACTAAAATGCATTTGTTCGTAATATATAAACCATGGGTAGCCAATCTGTATCTGCACATAACAAAGTAGTGAAATTAGTACTGATATACCTTATCACTGGAGACATGAAGCTATTACCCATCGGCAACGGAAACGTTGTTGAGGGAAACCCTTCAGGTGATACAAGAAACCAACAATTAATAAGTGTTGTAAATGATTGTATTCAGCTAATATACCTCAACTTTAAACAGCCTTTACAAATCTCTAACAGTGACTGCTATGATTTGAGAAGCAACCACAACAAGTTAGAACTGCCTAAAGCCAACACTAAGAAGACTTTCGGCTATAGAGGAGGTATACAATGTGGAATTGTTCATGATATGAAATACAAGTCACGTGTATGCCTGGTCTTTCGTATGAATTTATATATCTACTATTTTCTTGTTTGTCTTTTTATTAGTGTATAAACACGGCTCAATGAAGAACAATCCCTATTGGATTGAATACATGCGCACAAACTCAAAACAACTGACAATAATCCGCGCTGATAAAGGTTTGCCATTGTAAATGCACGAAAACAGCGCGCCGGCATTTGCCAACACAAAATACCGCATTTTGCAGACAAGCAAATTCGAAATCATTCTGTATGACATTATGTTCAACTAAATTCGTTGTTTCAACTACAATTATCATAGCTAGCTGTCAAGATATGATATGGTCTGGAAACCCGGCAAACTTCAAGGCCACACTGAAATAGAAGACCTTTGTTTGATGTTGAACTGTACCTCGACGTGCACAAATCCTTTATCTTGAAGGTCTCAATTTCATTGTCAATATTATTCATCATGGTTGCACGTTTCCTCTCAGCTATTCCTATTGGATGATTACTTCATTATACAAAAATGCAACGTGCACAAATTCATATAAACTCATGCGGACAAGAACATAACACGATGATTTCTGTCGGTGCATGTTTTCAGACCACTTGATTCATGAATAGTACCTTGAATGCTTGATAGACTCAGTATAAGAATTTGCGAAATTGTCCTACATACCATTCATTTGCAATCAGATTTTCGATTCAGTTTTTGGCAAATGTTTTCAGCTTCTCTGTTTATTCGTCTTCAGAGTATAAAGACGGACACAATGCGCATTCAATTGTTTCTTGTGATCATTTTGTGTGTCGACTTTCGTCGTACTTGCAACCATATGCGCGACCAGATATCTGCTCAGTGACAATGATGTTCTTCGCCGACATACATTGCTTGGGAAAATTTAGAGACAAGAACATCGATTTTACAGTGGATTTGCGTGATCATACAGCATTCCCTTTCAAATAGGTTTTGAAAAAAATTGATTGCGCTAGTTCCGCATCACGAGGAAGGCTAGTCCAGAGTTTAGCCTCGCTATATTTGATCAGTTCAAGCCGGCATCACTCGAGGATGGTGGGAGTAGGCAGTCACACGACCAGTTGGTTAGCTGTTAATGCTTTCCCATGCAACATTGTATCACGTATATACCAAGTGAAAACGTAGCTAGAATACTCATCAAAACCTTTCTGTTGCTAATCTAGAGCTTGAAATGGCTCCTGTAACAAAGCATGACTGACAACTCTCAACAATTGACTGGAGCTTATAAATGCTGCTTTCCAGTTAAGTGTTTCTCATGAGTGCGCGCACGGAAAAGTCGTGCATGCGTACACGCACGTATGAAAAACGTTTAACTGGAAAGCATGCATGGTTAAGATGCATTTGTTCGTAATATATAAAGCATGAGCAGTCGATCAATATCTGATTTTAACAGCACAAAAAGAGCCAACGGTGAGCCGTAGTAGTTAGGCATACCTTGTTTGTATTTGACTTCACTGTCTTCAGATTCGTGCGGTCATGCATATCCCTTCACTAACAATTAGTTATATCGGCAAATGAGAAGCCTACAATCCCGATATTTAGGCTACCTTGCAAATCGCGCGTACTTTATGCGCCAAATTATAACTCTGACCTGAGTGAACAATAATCCGAGTGGATAGTATAGGTTTGCTGAACGGTTGTAACAAGTATAAACCCGCGTGCAGTATAACTGTCGCCGTGGCACAAAGTACCGCATGTCAGACAGGCAAATTAGAAATTATTCTGTATAGATGCATTATGTACGCGATTACGATTGATATTTCTATAGCGCAAATGTGTACATGATCAAATTGCTCTTTACCAACTATCACGCCGCTTACCTAAGGCCCGGTTTAGACGGTGAACTTTTCATGCGCCGAATCTAATGTAATGATTAAGTGCGGCGCTGGAGCGGCGTCTAAATCAATTAAGTTCGGCAGGTTTTGATTAAGTTCGACACGACTTGAAGATGCGACAGGACAAGTCGTATATGCGACACAGGTTCGACATTGATTTAGACGCCGTGCTTTTCATGCGCCGAACCTAATGCATAATTATTTTTTAACATCATAGCATGGATTTATCATATATTTGCATTGTAAATATGTCCAATATAGTGGTCCTCGCAATTTGGTACGGCACAATTAAGTTCGACGTCTAAATCAGTTTCCAATATTTTGCCGTATCTACGACAATTAGATTCGGCGCATGAAAAGTTCGGCGTCTAAACCGGGCCTTATTACTTACTTAGCCTAGACTATTTTATCTTTACAACAATTGTGATATCACTTCTTAGAACTGTGTTTATCATAACCCACCCTTTCAACTTTCCCTGTGGGAGGAAACCGGATCACCCGGAGAAAACCCACGACTTTCGGCAGAGCGTTGACTGACTCTTTTTACATTGGTCCCGGTAGCGAGTACAACCATGTATATGTATATCAGTTCACAGTTGCCATTAAATTTGTTGTTTCAAACACATTTTTAACACAAATACATTAAAATACATTTCAAATACATGTTCTACTTACATTTAATTTGGGAGCAGATTTTCGGTTCAGGTACCTTGGAAATTTCAACATCAAGCACTTTCATAAGTACCCATAGGCGTCGAAGACAGCCGAGACAAAATTACGAGCATCACGCTTTAAGAATAACTGCTGCAATGAAAGTTGGCACACACAATATCATCAAACGCTCACAAGAGTAACAATCGAAACACGCACAAATAGACGATCGAATTCTTGCGTGCACAAGTCGAAATGACTCACAAAAACAAATCGATCTGTCGTCGTTATGAGCAAAGTGGTATGTGGGCAAGGCCATCGAGGCTTTTAACATTACGCAACTGATTCAACGGGAAAAATTTGCCGCAAGCGTTTTCTACTTATGCGTCTTCAGTAGGCTATAAAGACGGAGACAAGGCGCATTGTTGTTTCGTGTTTCGCGAGTATGGAATTCTCTCCCTGATGAGCAGCATGAACCGCACATCTCATTTCAGACCTTCAAATCTCGTCTTTTTAATTACTACTTCTCAGCAACATTAACCGTGTTTGACCAGGACAGTCCGCACTCCGCAGACGTGGAAATCAATTTGTCTGGAGCGTCAGAAGGCAAGACGGCTTGCCATCGGTGGCTTTTAGCACAGATTAGTTAATTAATTTGCAATTGTACTATATAAATCATTTTATCTCAGGAGGAGAGCAGTATTAAAATTTGTTCTACCTACTCTCTATATATCCTCACATATCATTAATGATTTTTTAAGTGTTTAGCCTATAGGGCGATCTATATGCAATCTTGTTTTATGTTTGTACTGTGTTTTGTTGTTTTTGTATTCGGCTCTGCAACAAGTCGCTAACATAATTGGCTCACGCTGTGTTAGTGTTCCTAAGCCGTTGTTCTGCTTGTATTAGGGAGCTTTAGAAATGCGACTACATTCCTGCGCATTTTTTCTGCTGGAATGTCAAACAAAATATTTCAGCAGCCATTTCTGCGTAAGCTCTCGTGGACCAATCAAATGTCGCCATTCCCACGAGGTCCATTTCACAAGGTTGCGTGAGCATGACACGTGAACATGACATGTGTTTCAAGCAAAAAGATGCATTCGTGGTTTTGTGTCTTGCTTTTTATTCGCAACTAAATATGTCATGAATTTTGCTGCTTTTTAAGAACTTTATGCAGGATAAACACGATATCTAAAGTAGTCTAACGCGCGTCGCGTATGCTAAATTTGTAGTGTCCTGAAATTCAGTTTTATCATTGCGATAAAAAAAGTAGCGAAGTATATACACGAATCGATCCGATTAAAAATCACCGGTCCAAAATCGCTATTTTTAACCATTGGAATTCATGTGGAAAAACATTTGGCGAAGTATTGAAATTATTCTCATTTCGCGCATTCAATTTTATAAGAACTTGAACAAAGACAGGCTATAACCGGTATGCATTATTTATTGAGTAGCTATACATTTCAAGTTTTGCCGAAGGCAAATTTGAAGAGCGAGATGGGAATTGATTAAAATTAAGCTGACTGGATTACAACGGAAACTGATATAGTTTCTCGTTTATCGATCGACATTTCTTCACACCTATGTCTAGTGCGCAAACAGTATAAGAATTTGTAATGATAGCATTTATTGCGAAAAAATCTTAATCGCCCACTAAAAATAATATACATCACTCACCCATAAATGAAGAAAACACAAATTTATGAAGAAAACACAAAAGAAATCTTGACCGTCGTGAAGGAGTTTGGATATCTTGTTCCGCGTGAATTGACTGAATTTCATGTATAAAACACCGAGAAGAGGCTGTAAATTCAGTTTAGGGAAAAGCATGAGCGGCATTGTTGTGTCATGTAGACAGATTGTGAAACGTCTCAATGAGAACATTCGTATTCTTCAACAATTTAAAATAAATTAATGATATTTGGTGAGAAAATTGAACTTAAAGTTTATGTAAATCAGCATGATTCTGTATATCATGACAACCAATTGCTTTAATATAAAAATTCCATTTTAGCGCGCAAAGCATCACGGTTGACTGTGATTCTTTAAGTGTATATTATATAATGGGGGATTTACCCTGTCATAATAATTCTATTACACACTTAGACAATGAGACTATTACATACTTAGACATTCTAATATAAATGTCACATACTCAGACAATATCAAATTCTGCGATCCGAGATGGCGTTACCACTGATTTTCTGCATCACTATTTATACAAAACTTTGCATGCATTTTGCGAAAATGGACCAACCGAAAATTGCACTTTGTTTGTAACTATGTAATATATAAAGCCCATCAGCGGCCGTTCAATAGTTGAATTTTCACTTGACGCTAATCAGTTTTCACTGAGTCCAAGTTAAATTCGTGCGATTTGTCGCAAAATGTTATGTATTCTGTGTGTAATGTTTATTTGTCCTGTGTTAAAAATATTATATATATAGAAAACATCATTTGTATCATTAAACGTGATACAGGACATAAATCGTAATGAGAAGAACACCTAATCCCATGTTAGAACGTCACGGTAGATCAAAATTGGATTATGAACTACAAAAAGGGGAACAAAATAGCAGTAAACGTGTTCCGTTTACGTAAGGGAAATTTGTGGTAGAGAAAATATATGTACTCCTGTTCTGTTAGTATAAATATAGGCTAAAAAGTTATTTAGTTATTGGTTATTGTCGTGTTGAACGCGTTATGTGTGTGTGTCAGTTTGAATCGCAAATTGAGAGTTGAGAATCATGTTGGGTAATTGTAACTTACATCATTGTAAAACGACGTGCACTAAACAAGTGTAAATATCTGTACTTCAGTAATAAATATATTAAAAAAATACAGCCCCAAGTGTGAAGTGTCTTGAATCGTGAGCCAGCAACCAGCGTGACTTAAATCGCACTAAGTTACGCGACACGATTCGTTTTAGTTCAAACTTATTTTGATTATTGTTGTGAGGTGTGGATGTGATTGGCAGTATCTTCGCAAAATACACGGAATCGTCAAAACAGAGCAGCAAGAATAATTTCATTTGTAATACACTAGTTATGTGATTTTTAATTTATATCGTTAGGCTTAGCTTTGAACTGTTTTAACTTGACGCTTGGAAATCAATTTGCACTGAAGAGGTTAGGATGTTTAATTAAATAAAGTTTACCTTCCCTCACCTTGATTACCCTTTTTATTTTATCTGCTTTCTAGAACTGATAGGCCGACCGGTCAAAATTCAACGACGTTCGAATTGAAAGCCTAGCAAGAATCGAGGTATTATTGTTGGACGAAAGAAGGATTTTGAAGTGTATAATTGGATCCAAATCGCGATTCTAACTCGTTTAACGCTTACGAACACACAAAGCCAAAGGAAAATTTCTCTTAACCTTTAACTGGAAACATAGATTTGCTGGTTGAAGAATACTTTTGCACTAATTAAAGAATATATCGAAACTAATTAACATGACGCGCGTTGGGACGGTAGTAACAATGTTATTGGTGATGTATTTGGCGTCGTTTCCTCAAGACTTTATTCGAGTAAGCGAAGCAATGGCAGGAGGCATTCGAAGATGTGCAGCTTCTAGTAGCTGTCGCCAGCCAGAGAGACAAGCTAGGAGGAAGGAAAAACGTTCGTATCGTTTGAAAAATCTTACCGGTAAAAGATCGTACGTGTACGAAGCGTGATAGCCGCATGCGTACACGAACAATGTGCAAACATGTATCTACAATCTTGGCCAAAACCCGGACGTTTTTCTCCTAATATGTCACTCCCGCACTCCTTTCAATGTTGTTTTATGTACCTATAATAGCTAAAAATCTGGCACAACAATACTGTGACCGAAACAACATTAGGGAGCTTTAGATTTGACTACGAGTACGACTACGAGTACGAGATTTGATCGCGTGCGAGGAAATTACCGTAGTCGTTTTCGTTTCCATTCAAATGTTGCTTTTATAACAGTAAATCAACAACTAGAGAAAAAGTTTCATAAACTAAATCTCCTGCCGACTAAAATCCCCTACAAAACGTGTAAATAAATCATAACATTAAAAATAGGCCAGATATTTTGTACTAATATATTATTTGCGCCGGATAAACGCTATATAAATGCTACAAATTATTTTTGGAAACAAAAAAAAGTCAACTTTCTTTGTTGTTTTTTGAAAAGTCGTCGTGAGGACTACGAGGTTTCTCCACAATTTCGTACTCAGATGGGCGACGGCTACGACTTTTTAGCGTCAGTACGGGATGGCGTAAGCATACAGCATGCGTTTAGCTTGACGAATCTCGTAGTCGTAGTCGTACTCGTAGTCAAATCTAAAGCTCCCTATTGAATGGAGGGTGCGGAGGGAGTTGCCATACTACTTTTCAAATGCAACAAAAATAAAGTTAAGCCGGAAAACTGGTGCAAACGTTCGGTCGGTCTACAAACTTTTGGCCATGATTGTAGGTGCTTGGTAGCCTGCGTAGCTGGAGGCTTTAATTAAAGGATTAGTTTCACACCATGGTACTTTGTTGTTTTTATCTCATTCAAAATCAACAAATAATGATAAAAATACCTCGCTCGGTACATTTCCAATAAGAATCAGATAAAAGAAGCAAGGGTTCTCAAAGAATGGTTCAGAAATACTGATACGACATATTACACTAAAAACTTTTCCAGGTCTGTTGATCTACTCGGTCCATAAATTGACCGCCAGCAGGTATTTGAGCCCGCAATACTATGGTGTGAGACTAATCCTTTAAGGGATTTGGGCCTCAACCCCATCCCTTAAAATCGCCAGCTACGCAGACTAGGTACCAGGCCACGCAGGCTCTTTTATAGATAAGTGAATGTAAGGATTTTGGACATGTTACTCGATAGAACTAAATGTTGAACAGATTTTTTATAGAGTGAAATTTCAAGTGTAAAGTGTATACAATTTTAGTTAGACCTAGTCAGGAGCAACTGCGAAAAATGCAACATAGGCCCTCTGGCATGCTATTTTGCTTATTTTCTCTGTATGTTAGTCTTAAATTTATTACATTAATTCTGTAAGTATATTAGTAGTTAACCCAATAAAGTTCTTGAAAAAATATATTGCGTGTGGTCAACTCAATATATAAATACGTTTTTCACAAACTCTCAGTATACGAGTTATACTCACTTATGTATTCGTGAAACTCATTAATAATTCATGAAGGAAATACAAAAGAAATGGACAACTTGCATGTCAGACTAAATTTTAATCTAAGTAAAGAGAATGGAATCAAACACAACAGTTAAAAAGAACATAATGAAATTAGTAAAATTGCAAAATTTGGTTGCGAAATGTTGTAAAATACAGAAAATATAGCCTTGCGAAGTTTGCATATTTTCAGTATATTTGTATTACGTGCGGAAATTGTTACCATTTTCGGCAACATTTCGTAACCAAATTTTGCAATTTTACTGATTTTAATAAGTTCTTTACGGGAATTTACTTTTTTTTTCTAAATCAAAAATTAGTCTAACATGCAAGTTGTCTATTATGAGCGTGAAGAAGTTTGTATATCTGATACAGAATCATGCTGATTTACATACTACTTTCATTAAGTTCAATTTTCTCACCAAATGGCAAATATCATTCATTTACGTTTTTCTCAAACTCTTATACGAGTTATATACTCACTTATGTATTCAAGAAACTCATTAATAATTCATGAAGGAAACGCAAAAGAAATTATGAGCGTGAAGGAGTTTGTATATCTGATACAGAATCATGCTGATTTACATAAACGTTAAGTTCAATTTTCTCACCAAATGGCAAATATCATTCATTTACGTTTTTCTCAAACTCTTATACGAGTTATACTCACTTATGTATTCGTGAAACTCATGATTAATAATTCATGAAGGAAACACAAAAGAAGTTATGAGCGTGAAGGAGTTTGTATATCTGATACAGAATATGCTGATTTACATCAAATATCATTCATTTATTTGAAATTGTTGAAGAATACGAACGTTCTCATAGTTCTGAATGAAGAATGTTGTAACGTGAGCTACCCTTATTACGTGAACTACCCCCTAAATACTATAAATTTATGTTCTCATTCTGAATGAAGAATGTTGTAACGTGAGCTACCCTACACAAAAAAACAATAGCAAATGAGTAGGCATGTGAGTTATTTGAAGTTGCGACTAATTGCGTATAAAAATATTTCCTAATTTCGTCTCTGATACGAAACTATTAAAAAAATTCTTGATCTTGTAATCCATGCAAATCTATGCTTAACTGTACTTGAGATAGCAATATTAATAATTGGTTTATGCCAAATTCAGACAAAGGAATTTCCTGAAACTCCCCCATGAATAAAATATTATTGACTGAAAGCGAACTTTTAACAACCCTATAATTATTATATAAGGTCCTGTTCAGATGAATTATTTCTGTATTATTAGGGACCGATCAAAAAGTAACTACCACATAGGGTGAGCCGGAGGGAATATGGATGGGCCCATGAAATTATTTTCATCAATGTCAGTTTCATCAAAGTATCAGCAAAGTATCAGTATCAGCCATTAGGTGTTTCTTATGAATGATGAGCCGTGAAATAAATGTTTACACTCATACCATATAATTACTGTCAATTTTCTTAAACTGAATAACATCCAATATAAAAAATAAATTCAAAATGAAATCAAAATAAGAAACAAAACTTGTTAATACACTATACGTTATTGTTAATAGTTTTTATGACTATCTTATACATTGCCCAAATCAGATAAAATTTCAAAAGAGTCCCTCCATTGTGAAGACATGAAGGAAACGCAAAAGAAATTATGAGCGTGAAGGAGTTTGTATATCTGATACAGAATCATGCTGATTTACATACTACATTATTATTCATTTATTTGCAATTTTCATATATATCATTCATTTACACATATATCATTCATTTACACTTTTCACTATACGTTATTGTTAATAGTTTTCATGACTATCTTATACATTGCCCAAATCAGATAAAATTTCAAAAAATCCCTCAATTGTGAAGAGATTGCGATGAAAGTGTCATGGTGGTATATTGGAATTGAGGTACTTTTATCAGCTAGGTATGACATTCTTCGATTGCAAATCATGTTTACTTGATTAGTAAATGTGTAACTAATTTATTGGTTCTAGGTTATGGAGAAAGTATACGTTGGTTTGTTCCAAGTTGAAATCTGAACCTCGCAAATAATTTCACAGTAGCATAGACAAAGATGTATAACACTAGGGTGAGCCATGAAATCTGAACCTCGCGATATTTTTTTTCATAATTTCACAGTAGTGTATAGTATATTTATTCTTGCAGCATGTTTTATATGGTGTAAAGGCCTATAAAATCAGTATTACGTTATCTGACTCCAGTTTGCAGTCCGTAATATGTCGTGTTTTAGTGGAAGATGGATGGACTTAGTATGGGATCCTAGTTCTGTTGCCCAATCCTTCAATCATAGCTGTATGTGTATTTTGTAAATTCTGAACGCTGATTGGTTAAGAGCCGTGTTGATATAACTCAATGTCAACACGGAAATTTCATTCTTTATATTTCTTTGTGCTATATTATAAAAAAAATATAAAACATTTTTTCCGTATTGACATACAGTTATATCAACACTCGTGGAAATTGGGAAAACTCGAAATTGTGTCTCCACACAATTGTGTTTCCACACAACTTCTCGTTTTCCCAATTTCCACTCGTGTTGATATAACTGTATATCAACACGGAAAATGTTTTATATTTGTTAAGGTGAGTTCCCGGTTCAACATGCACAAAACAAATGGTTTAGATGCCCTCTTCAGGGTTCGTACACCTTCTCCCATTAGTAAAATTCCATGACTTTTCCGGAACTTTCCATGATTTCCCATGACCATTTTTTTCAAAATCCATGACCTGGATGTCTGGAATTTCTGAAATTCGTTAATATTTTAACGATAACAGATATAATAAAAGAACAAAATTCGCTTCGCTCTTGCAAAAATCCGTTATATAACAACAATTCATATTATTGTTATGGCTGGTAAATTGAAGTAAGTAAAAATACTTTGTTAATGTTATGTAAAATTTCAATTTTCCATAACTTTCCATGACTAAAATTGATTTTCCAGGCCTGGATTTTGGAGTATTGAAATTCCATGACTTTCCAGGTTTCCAGGACCCGTACGAACCCTGTCTCTTACAGTCACTAATTGAACGAAAAATCTGGTTAGAACGCCGCACCGGAATCACAGGATCGATTCCTGACAAAGGGGCGATATTTACGTTTTTTGCAACTGCTCCTGGTTATAGGTCTAATAAATGTATACAAATTCCACTCGAAATTACCATCTACAAATCCCTTAAAGTGCCTATGACATGAAATTTCACCCCAAAGGTTTATGGTTGCATTGTAAAGATCACTTAAAATGACTTAATATTTTCTTTTATAGAATTTTGATAACTTGCTCCATTTTCAAGATATTCAACTTTGTTTCATATGCAATTATCACCGGTATGACATCACATCACATAATGAGTTTTCAGAAAAGTATAGTTTTCTTAACGAATACGTATCTAAAAAACTTCAAAATTGCCCTTGTATTTGTATTAACTTCATAACTGGTAATTAACCCTCTGTATTTGTTTGTAAAAATATTTTATCAAGGTAAAATATTGCGTTTTCAAAATATCATTATGCAATGTGATGTCACGTACAGGTGATATTTGCATATGAAACAAAGTTGAATATCTTGCAAAGGAAGCAAGTTATCGAAATTCTATAAAAGAAATTATTAAGTCATTTTAAGTGATCTTTACAATGCAATCATAAACACTTGGGTTTTGTGTCATAGGCACTTTAAACAATTAGTTATATTCATAGATATCTTATATACATTAGATAGCGCATTTCTTTTAGTAAAATTGAAGCCAAGCTGAATAGTCCAGCGGTTACCCTCACTTGAATAGATGGCGGCCATGTTGAAGTTTCCCACTCGCTATAATAAACACTTAAAAACAACAATAACTGTCATCATTTGAATAGTTTGAAAATGTATTTGGAATAGGCTTAACTTAATGTTTAAGTTCCCTGGCTAAGAAATAGAAAACATACGAGTCTTCTCATTTCATGGGAATATCCTGAGTCTGCAATCACGGCTTCAATTTTTGAATTGCAGAATAATTGTATACACTACACTGCAAAAAATTCTGAGTAGAATCCACTCAAAAAAATGAGTAAATGAATGCACCCACAGTGACACAAAATAGTGAGTAAAACTACTCATAAAATGTGAGTAATATTTACTCAAATTTTTGAGTTAATTTACTCAAAAAACTGAGTTGAAACTACTCAAGTTATACACATTTACAGTTACTCACGGTAGGAGTAAACAATAAATTACTCAAACTTTGAGTAAACGTACTCAAACTTTGAGTAAATTTACTCAAACTTTGAGTATGTTTACTCAAAAAGAGTTCTAGTTACTCAAATAAAATGCGCCCATAGTGACTCCTTATTTTGAGTAAATGTACCGTTTACTCAAACTTTGAGTAAATTTACTCAAACTTTGAGTATGTTTACTCAAAAAAAGAGTTCTAGTTACTCAAATAAAATGCACCCATAGTGACTCCTTATTTTGAGTAAATGTACAGTTTACTCAAACTTTGAGTAAATTTACTCAAACTTTGAGTATGTTTACTCAAAAAAGAGTTCTAGTTACTCAAATAAAATGCACCCGATGACTCTTATTTTGAGTAAATGTACAGTTTACTCAAACTTTGAGTATTTTTACTCAAAAAAGAGTTCTCGTCAATTTTATAATAAGTTCCAGACTTTACTGTAATAGTTTCAGTTGGCAGGTTTCAGTTCGTTTGAGCTGATAAACCTTCAATGTACAGTATATATAGTTCAGTTGTACTGTAATACATGCATCTACATGCACCAATTGAAAAATGAAATATAAAGTCTTAAGGGTCATTCCATTTATTATCCGCACCCCCCCTATGGATGT